TCAGCAGTCCCTTGGCGGCCTATGTACGGCTCCATGTTTGCCGAACCAAGCTAGATGGCTGCGATACACAGCTCATCAACCATCCAACTCTCCAATCCAAAACGCTGTCATCTCAAACGTGAGAGAAAACATGAGAAAACAGCACTATCCTCCGTGTTGCGACACGTATTCAAGAAAAGGCGCACACGCACCACACACACACACACTCAGCATCTTGAACTTGAACCCTAAGCTTGGTGGCAACAGTACTTGACAATTTGCCTATGACACGCCAGGGGATGCTAAAAACGTGATCTGTCTATACCACAAGCACATGAGGCTCCAGCCCGTTTGCCATGCAGTTCAGCACAGTGAACAAAGGACCACCATCTTCAGCATCCCATGGAATTTCCTGAGTTTGACAACCAAATCCTCCGCTGCCCATTTAGTTGGATATTCATGGTACTCTCGCCTTTGGCGGGAAGTCTGTGCACTTTTAGCGCACCATGATACAACCAAAGACCCTAACAAATATAACTGGTTGCTTGAAATTGCTTGAATGTCTGTGCTTAAAAGGCACACCTCTAAAACTTCCTTTGATGTCCTAAATAAGGGATCGAATTTATCAAGATTTCGTAATGTATTGTGTCTTCTGCCACATCGAACTTAATTTGCATGGGTGTGGAATGATTCCTTGCGCGGACATAGTCATGTTGCACACTTGGACTGGTCCTTCAATGTCCTTTCATGTTCTTTGTGCATGGGTCGGCTGGCTCGTACTGTATGTCCATCAATCCGGAGCAACAAGTTGCTGCCGGGCAACACCCATCAAAGCCATGTTTTGCAAGGATAACCGAGGGGCTTTGCCGCAGGACAAAGAAGAGAGCTGCCATCAACTCTAGGCAACATCTTCAAAGCTTCCGTACAAATCCGTACAGGAGTTCTCGCAAATATTCTTATATATATATATATGTATATAAGTAACTCATAAGTAACTCTTAAGTCAGCAGGTCCAAGCTGCAAATGCAAGCGTTCGCTCATCCAACCAATGCCTGCAGGTGAAAGAATACATGACTTGTATCACTGACATTCAAAGAGTGCAATCACATCTGGCACTCTATCTCTGAACTCCAAATGGGTATCCAAAATCAAACAGAGTCCACGTTTGCCTAGCTACCGTGGCTGCAGGATCTTCTTGGCCTGGGAAATCAGCTTCAATTCCTTGGATAAACAACAAAACTAGCCTCAGGGCAATGACATGCAATGACAGCCCACCATCATTCAAGAATTTACACTCCGTGACGGACTGGCTTTTACCGTCTTGCGAACAGCTCGAGAGCAAAATTCAGCATAGCCACCCCCAAGGGTAAGGAGATGAGGGGTGCCTGCGCACTGCCGGCTGCGCAAGGGGTTTCTTAGCTGTGACTTCCGGGTGCGACCCCGAGTGTGACAAATGACTTAAAGCTGTGTCGTGTTTGTTCGTTGTGGATTGAGTTTGAGCAGGAGGTGAAGAAAGGCCTCATGAGAACTCTCCATGGCTTCGAGGGGAAGAAAGCCGTAGGTGGCCCACAGCTCAGGCGATGAGAAGTCGCTGTAGCAATGGACCAACTCTGAACCTGAGGGTCAAGTGATGTCAAGCGTCAAGCTGCAAATCTGACTCAACCAAACTTCATCGCTACAATATCATCAATATCATTGAATATCAGTATCGGTTCAAGCTTAACGAAAGCCATCAGCTTTCCCTCAGCACCTTCAGTAATCGGGCACTCTGCTTGTAGCAAAGCTCCTTCTTGCAGGTTTCCACGAAACCTGGCTGCAACAAGCTGCAAGCGGTCGGTCTGAGCAATCTTCAGAAGTTTGTCTCATTCTCAGCACAGTAAAACAATGGGAGCGTCTCATCGAGCCTTGAACAGCTTGAGGTTCTTGAAATGACTAGTGACTAGTGACGTGTGTTGCTTGCTACTGAATATGTGAGCGCCAGTTGCAGTTCCCCAACCAACAAGTCAAACACATTCAAGTGGTGCTACTCTCATCCGTTGCCAATTGTCACTTAAAATATAGTGTCGAGGTTGAGGTTTGATCGGTTTGATCGGTTTGATCCCTTCCATTCTTTCATCTCCAAGATTCTTGCAGTGCTGGGCTCCCCTGAGCTGTCCACCAGCAATTCCAGGAACCGGTGGATGTCAAAGGTACGAAAGTGTTCAAGAGGTCCTCAATATCTGCCACTAGGCAACAATTATTTTGCCTGTGCAGGATAGAATCACACCCCTTCTCGGAAATCAAACGGAAGGCAGCAACTAGAGTCTAGAGATATTCAAAGGGCAAGCCTAATCAAAGCTGTTTTTCTCGCAAGATTGAAGATTGGAAAATAGAAGCAAAGGTACTATGTTCATGCTTAACAAAGGGTTGGGGAGTCAGGCATAAATTTGTTGTGCTAAGGTTTCACCAGGCCACTATTAGGGGGACTAAGGCGCGAATGACATTGCCCTGGTCATCAGCTAGGTTGAAGGACCTGGGCCAAATCACAAGGCAAAACAACTAAAGCACCAGCAATATCGAAAGCTAGTTCACATGTCACATGGGTGACTTCGGCGACTGACTTTGGTCTCTAGATGGCTCTAGGCTACACTCCTGTGCTGACCTCTTCAAGCTATGCATTCGTGAACTGGTCCAGCCTGGAATCGACTAGCACCAGGGCAGCTTTCATTTCAGGTGATGCGCTCGCCCATTTCAAACGTTCCTGGAAGAAGGTACGAAGGCTTTTTCTTCGACAAACATGTCTCTGACAAAGGTGAAAGGAAGCCAAAGGAAGCAAATGCAAGTGCAAGCAGGTGCTAAGGTTGATCAATGTACAGTATTTGTCTATCACCGCATATCACGACATTCGAGTGGACCGGAGAGTGGTCTTCGTGTTTTTGAACTAAAGCGTTTCGAGCACCTGAGAAGACACACATGGAATTCATTGGAGTTCAACTATATCAAAGAGAGTAGCGTAGCTTTGCTTCTCATATTGCTTGGGTGGGAGCATGCGGGAAAGACCATGAATTCTGCAATTCAACTCACAACTCGCGGCGGAAACAACCGGGAACCTGGAAGATGCGCTGAGCTGACAAGCTACCCTTCAGCAAGTCGTTGACATACCTGATGCTCAGTGCTGCTCGGGAACACCAGGAAATTCAACCGTTACATCTTTGGTCAATACTCACACCCTTGCAAGATGCAACAAGCACCATATGCATGCACTGAAAGTTGCCAAATGAGCCTGGCAAACGTTGCACTTCTTGAGCATTCCACATTTAGAACACAGTGCGAGCTGAAGGCGTCGGTGCCCTACAGCTGAGGTGGTCTATCCAATTCCCCACAAAACAAAGTGAAGTCTGACCCTGGAGTACCACACAGCAATCAAAATTCAACATCCAACATTAACATGCATGTTATGAGCGAATGTGTATGTCATAGAGTGGCTGCATCGTCATGCATCGTCTTGACCTAAGGAGGTAGTGTGGTGGCAGTGGGGGTAGCGGTGTTTGTGACACTTGGCATCAGTTGTAGCGAGTACTGTTGAAGGTCGCAGCGGTAGTGCTACTCAGAACTGACATAATGTCTTCAGGGTGATGCAAGTGACCTCCCAAAAGTCAAGCGGATCAGCCAGAAGTCTTTTTCCACCAAAGCAACTTATATAATTGGCGAGCAGCCCAGCACACGCAGAACACAATGGCATATGATCATAATCAATCAAAGGCATCCTGAAAAACAATGTTGGTAAACAACATATTAAGGTCGAGCCAACAAATTCAACCACAACACATGGTAGGATTGTGTGTGTGGAGCAGCAGGGAAGCCGTTATTTTTTGAATACTGCACAATACTGCCAATCATTTCACAAAACGCTGCTCATATGAAGAAAGCTGCCGACTACATCGGAGCCTTCAGCTCGCTCACTTTGTGTACACAAGCACACAAGCGATACTCTGCCTTTTCTGCAAGCATGGGACAGGATGCATTTCCACTGCTATGATCTACGAAGACAAAGTCACTTTAAGGGGCGGCCGCTAAACAGTTTTTGTTTTGTTTGTTTTGCGTAGCCACGACACTCCATTTGTTGAAGCTCAGCTGGCCACTGCAATGGGTGAAATGGTGCCACATCCTCCAAATTACCAAAGATCCAAAACTGAACTTCAAGGACACATCAGTCATTATTTGGATTCAAGCTTGGAACGTCCAGCAGCCGAGTTCGATTGTTGGAACAAGTTAAACATGATTATCCAGCAAGAAATTGGAGCGTTTCTCTGGCTCTGAAGTTCAGAGCTGTCTTAGTCCTTGTCTTCTGGCAAGGAGTCCCAGTATGGTTTGAACCTCAGCTAGAATGGACATCTCCATGAGATGCTACTTGAATTGAAGAGATGGACACCTCCTTCGCTACTTGCATATTTCCCTGGAGTATGGCACCGCTCGGCAGACTTGTAGCTTTGATCCACCATTCTCGCCAACTTGTCTAGCCAAGGCGCGGAGAACTTGGACTTGACCGTTCTCGCCTAAGCGCAAGGAACAAGGAACAAATCACTATATAGAATCTATAAAGACCGGCATGGATTTGAGATGACTTATAAAGTATCAACAAGCTTACAGCAACTGTAACTTTTAGTACAAACACTCTAATTACTTCTCACTTTCAAATGCTGAGTGATGGTGAAACATGATACCAGCGACCACAGTTTGCGGTCAATTGCGCAAGCAATGCAAAATAATGCTTCTCGCTCATCCCCTGAGTGCAATAGTCAATCCCCTGAATGTACAATGTCTATCCCACTGATTCTGAGTGTAGGTATTCAGTCCACAAAGGGCAAGTAGAGTGAGTTGTGGAAACAATATGTTTTGAAGCCTAGAGCAACTGGCCAACAGAACTTCTTCAGCCAACCAGGATTTCTGGCGGCTTTGCGCGCGTAAGGCATGCCACAAGGCTAAACAACTTGATAGAAGTTGGCGGGGCTTAGCTTGGCTTCCGCACAAATATGCTTCAGCTAATGACTCTGCTCCACCATCACCTGTGCCAAGGTCTTCATGGGCTGCTTGGTGGCCGCTGAAGCCACAGGACCCATGTGTCGACATTATGGGTGAAATGGACACAGGTAGTCAGAGTCAGCCTGTCCTTTTGTAACTTGCAGGATCTTATATAATATGTAAGTACTTAATGGATCTTAATGGTGTACCTCAACTTGTAACCGCCCCGTCCCTTCTGGGAACTTCCGCGAAGCACAAATGCTTCTACAAACTTCGGAACAACTTTAAATCAACCTCAGAATATACCTTCTGCAAACCCCAGGTCTAAAAGCAAACAGCATTCTTCAAACCAGTACAAAATACCCGATTGGTATGCCAAGACTCAAACGTTACTTTCTCTGATTCCCTCACAACACAATACAGCACATTTCTTGGAACAGTGAGCAAAAGGAACTTTTGCCTGATTTTTTTTATAATTGGACAGCTATAGGACCAAGGATTGTAGCATATTGTAGCAAAATGTTGGTCAGGCCTGAAAGTAATAGAGCTTCTCTTGGCACCCGACCTGATATGCAAGCAGAACATCACATCACAAGTAAACATGCCAGCTTGCTGATGTGTTGTAGTATATACTGTATCAGGCTTTAATGTCAATATCACTCGGAGAGCTGGTCAAGATGCCGGTGGTTCGAAGTTCTCTCTGTGATTGTGCATCCAAACCAATTTGAACGACAATAATCCTGCCAGCACTACTGCAAGGTTCACAAAACCGACACGAGGGACACGAACACCAACAGCAAGGAATTGATGTGCAACCTACGAATAGTAATAACCAAATTCATACACAGACGAACTACGGACGCAATTATTTGTGATGTGTGCCTATGACACCGAACATGACTTCCAAGACTGCTCAAAAGAGATTAGTGATAACAACGCAAGGACTCTATCATGCTCTATCTGTATCTAAGGGCATCACACACCAGCTCACCTGCAGCGAAATCTTTGGCTGCAAACACGCCAAGTCCTGGTCGAAAATGCACGACCTCGCAAAAACCATATCGGACTTAAACGTTGTCCCCTATTGTGGGAAAACTACAAGTCTATACAAGTCTCCTTACAAAGTATGTCTCCATTGCTGTCTGTGCATGCACCCCGCCCCAAGTACATTCATGTGCTATGCAGCTCAAGCCAACCGGGGACTGCCTCCAGCTTCGTAGGTACCTCACCCCCGCCGCTGAGTCTCGTGGAAAAACAACGTTTCAATCTTCAGCCAAATCAACCATTAAGTTGTATATATAGTCAATGGGCCGACATGGCCTGTACCACACTTCAACCTTATTCCGCCACAGAACATGTCACAGCCATTGCCTTGTGAACAAACTTGAACAAGCTGCTATGAAACCACGGTACTTTGACCAACGCGCAGGCCACCAAGACCTTCCACGCCTGGGATATCCTGACAATGTTACGCAATCGCTCTTGATCTTTCTTATTGTCAACACATATTCTGTTGAACAGCAAGCAGCAACGGCGATGTCTGTCACAACACAAACATCACGCATGATGTGGCAAGTGTTTTTTGGGATCCATCAAACAAGCGACGCGTCTTTGAACTGTATACAGCACTGACAAGCAGCAACACTCTCGATGTAATTACATAAATACTCTTTTTGTTTTTTAGAGTCAGGATTGTTATATCTCAACTGTAAATGTATGTTTGCTGCACAAGAATCCTGACAAAACATGACAAAACTACTTACTGTAAATGCTGTTGTAAATACTGGACCAAAAATGGCCAACGTTCTTCAGCACCATTCTTGAAAGAAGACTTCTGCACCTGCAGCCACTCCAGAAGAGCTTCACAAAGCCCCCGCGAATGACGAGCAAACGCGACGAGGCGTTGCTTTCCACGCCTGCCCAATGATCACTCTGAACGACCCAAAGGGATCTCAAATGCTTGCATTGACAAATTCACTTGCCCAACCGCAAGTCAAACTTGTCCAGCTGAATGATATGACATCAATTCAAGACCCAATAACTATAATAACACAATGACTTCTTTGGCTGATGACGCCCGCTGCGTACAACTGCTGCTGGACAAGCCTTTGGTAAACCACAACGGGGCACACTGCTGCTAGCAAGCACCGCGGGCCGAAGCCAAACCTGCAAAAAAAACACATGCTGGCTGGGCTGAATGGCAAATCCGACTCCATTTCACCTTCACAAGTCACATGATTCTGCGATTCTAATGTTGTTAATTTATCTCGCACCTACAAAAACCAGTGACTTCTGGCTCTGCAGCTGTGCCATGGCCACACCATATTGCGGCTTGCGGTGTACAGCACGTCCGTACACAACGAAGCTACCGTATGACAAGGGAGGGGTGGACTGATCATCGTCATCGTCAACCTGTACCTGCCTTTTTGACCTGCTCAGACTTGAATCTAAGCAAAGGCATTGCTGTCTCATGTGGTGTTTGGCACTAAAGGGCTAATGACTTCATCTCACTCATATTTCAACTGCCAAGTGCTCCATCGAGCTTTATCCTGAGTTTGTGAACAAGATTGGCTGCCAAGCAACGGCTTCCTGCCAAAGTGGAACGTGCGGCTGCTGGACGTTGTTTTGGAATTGGTGCGCCATGGAAGAACACCATCCACGCACAACATCACTCTGGACTGAGCATCTTTGACTAAACCAGTAGCAACAATAATATGGTTGACGCTGCAACATTCCTCGTGATTTCTCTTCAAGGAAAAATCCAGTACTAGTAGGTGACATGAGAAACACAAACACAAAAAGCATTGTTTCCTGAAGCGGCGTTAGTTGACCTGTGTTCGGCGCTGTGCTTCTGAAATGAGAGCTGGGGGTGTCACGAAATTCAATGAGCAGCGAGAGTGCCCATTGCACTCCTTGACCTGCTCAGCCTTGATATTTTGTGGCACGATGTGGCATGTCTGTTTGTGCTGCCGCAGGCTCTTGTGTTGCTTGGCCGACAAACTCCATCCAGCTGACCGATGGGGTTCTTTCTTCACAACATCGGTGTTTTTCAAGAGAACCAGTTGAACTTCTTGACTGTCATGCGCTCTGTGCTTTCATATCAAACAACAATATCCCTTTCATAAGCAAAGTCCGTGGCTTTATCTTACAGGGCAAAATCACAAAGTCTTAAAGAGTCTTACGTGACGAGCTAGTGTCAATCTGATCCCAAAATCTTGCAGTTTGGTCCACTGTCGGTCAAAGCGCCGGGCGTCAAATGGCCGCTACACTTGCACATATCTTGTGCAAGTCACAGTCACCATTATGGACATAGGAAGCATAGGAACAGTGTCGCTTAGGACACTGGTCCAAGAAGCATGGAGCTTTCCAAATAAACATATGTCAAATGTCCATTACGTCCATGCCACCTGCTTGTCTTTCAACAACTCTAACAACATAGCTTGTTGCTTCCAACCTCAACTATGCTGTCGGGTCTCGAGGGTATAGAACCGGAGTGTATTCCTCCAGCGCACCCTGCATACCCACTACATCAAAGAAGACGTCTGCCGGGTCACCCTAATGGAGAGCATTCCAGCACAGAGTCTGTCTGGGCAATGGTCAATTGATGTTTAAAGTCCAGGCTGTCAGACTGTCAGAGGATGTGTTGTACGCACAAGCATAAAAAGTACCTGCCTTGACCAGTCAAAGCCACAACAAACATGGCATGCCTACCAGTATCAATGAGTCCCAAAAGTGTGTGGTAGGCTGAGACAGGCCTGTTCATTGCGTGCCCATGGGACTTTGTGTGTGTGTGTGTGTTGCCCTTCTTTCAAGAACAGTCGGTGTCTGTGTTCAATCCCACAAAGAAAATCAATAGCACATTGTAAGAGTCTTGCCGTCATTTGATCGGCTTTGAGCATAATTTGCTCCATGATCACTACTCCCTCACCCCCCGGGGGGGTCAAACATGTAGCTTACAATTTTGGGTGTGTCAAAATGCAGGTTTTGGAAAACTTGATTTTTGAACATAATTACAGGTCTAAAATACCTCCATCTGACAAGACAGTGGTCAAAATTGTAAGTTACATGTTTGACCCTGATGTGTTTTTGTTGAGCCTGTACGCGCTCCAAAATTGTAAGTTACATGTTTGAGGGTCAGATGGATGCATGCCGCATGCCGCCTGACCCTGCTCCGTGGGGTACCTGCCCGTCCATTCTTACAATTTTGAGCCCCCCTCCCGCCCCCTGCTTTCAAAGTCTCAAGAGGTAGGCCTTTGAGGGGGGTTAAAAAAGTAAGATCCTCGTATAGGCTACCTCAACCTTAGATCTAACCATTTTCATCCCCCCCTATAGGGCTATATAATGCTATATCGCTAAATCAAAATTTGTATGTTACAAATTTGACACGCCGCGGGGTCAAACACCGCAAAAGGTAGTGATGTTCCATGTATGTATTGACAAATTGACAACCCTTTGATTGTTTTTTTTCGGCTACCTTCTGCAGTTCGTTGCCAGTCAAACAACTGTTGTGCTGTTGTAGGTTCAGTAGATCGGTACTTGTTCAAACTTGAACCCCAAACCTCAATGTAGGGCACTGAGCAGCTCCTAAGCTTGATTCCCAAGCACATCAAACAATAAACTGATCAAGCTTCACTCAGACTTTGCAACATCTCACAATTATATGCATCCATAGGAACACAGAATATCTTGGATGGCATTGAATATTTGGTTGCTCACTGACTCGACCCTTAACGAATCTTAAAGAAACTGATGCCAACAATCCTCCAATCAAGCGCTTAGCCGTCCCTGTCGGGGAGTCACAAAGGAAAGAAACAGTTTAACACAAGCAAACAAATGCTGGCCTGGATTCAAGCTGAACAACATGTTATCATCAATATTGCTTCATAAGGCATTGTCATTGTTGCAATCCCCAATGCGCAGCCACAGGCAACTGACATTCCGCGCAAGAAAGCAAAGAATATTGGGCACTCACTGTACTATGGATTGACAAGGCGCAGAACGCCTTGGCGCCTGGCTTCTTGCAACGCGTGTTCGTCTTCTGTCCGTTGCTCCAGTCAAGCTGCAGTCCCATGTAACAAGGCTTCACACGATTGAGACTGCAGAAGCCAAGGATAAAGCAAATTTGACTCCAATTTGGAAAACACAAATGTCATGCACTGTCGCATGTTTGTGTAGGGTGTCAACCAAGCAACATGTTTTGCGCAAATGTGTTTGCAGCACTCTGGAATCCCAAAAGCTGACCTTTTCCCTGCCTCTCGTGTGTGGCCACGTTCACTTTGGCTGTGAACTGAAACTGTGGGATGTGAGGGCTCCTCGCAGGAGAAAGCTCCATGTTCACACCGAATAAACCCTATATATATATATATCCCTATATGAACTTCAGCAACGTTGACAAGCCCTGAACAGCGTAACTGACAACATAATGATCTCTTGTTTGCAAACCTTGCAATGCAAGTTGCTTCATTCTTGATCAACAGTTTAGTTTAGGCACAACAACTGCACGCCCACCCTGTTCCTGACTCTCTGCCTCTGGCTCAAAGCCAGGCGTAAACAACACCTCGCTCACACCAAACATCTAGGCTCTTCTGCATTCATTTGTATCAACTCATGAAACTGCAAACGTCACAGGAACCTTTGATACCTTACGTACCGCATCTGATACCTTACCGGTATGATATTGATTGTCAGGTCAAAGCTTTCAGCTGTTCTGGACAAGGACTGGAGGAAAGGAAACACAGCTAACCCCAAAAAATCCATTATATAACAAATACACGCATACAAGTGACACTAAGTGGCGGGCTAGATCTCTTGCTAACCAACATACTACAGTTGGGACGGTTCTGATTTCCTTCAGGCCTACTTGGGCCTTGTGCTGACTACGACTTCTACTGCTGCTACGGCTGGAGGACTCACCAGAAACAAGGAGAACTGCAAACGGTTGCTCTGATCAACAGAACCAAAAATGGCAATGGACATCGGAGTGGCAATCAGTTACCGTAGAAAGCAACCAGTGTGCTGCACAGACTAGACAACCTAACCTAGGAAAAAATAACAACACTCCTTAGTCCTCCAAAGGTTTCACTGTGTACAGTTGGTGCTTTGGGATCCCAGTGTGCAATTTTTTGAGCTGCTCGACAATGATGGTTTATGAGTGAAATGTATATCCTGTCCTTCCGTTCTGGAAAGTGAATTCAACACATCTTGCTATAATCATACAAAACAAATCTGCCTGGATTTCCATCTAATGTTTCCGCTTGCAATCGCCGCTGCTTTTAGGTACAAAATGTATAGTTTCCCTAAAATCTAGGAACCAAATCACTACCGTAGTGCGTGAGCTATCCTGCGTCCTACCTAGAAGCTAACTTAGTCTAGTAGCTTGCCTCCTTACTCAAGTATAAGTAGGCAGGGGGGAGCAGGGTGAAACAAAAACTCTGACAACTCAAAATGACACCAAGACACTGATACAGGTGCCAAGTGCAAAGCAAAGTGTTTTGCTCTCTTTGCAGCATCCTTGGCGAGTTCACCTGGATGCCCGCAACACCATCACCACTGGAATCTCAACGCAAAATCACTGATGAATGGATTGACCAGAGGAACCCCGAACAGTTGCATGTTCATTGTCCTTCCCTTGTTGTCATAAAACACAAAACAGGCTCTCTTGATGGTCAAAGTGGAATGTAGTAGGTACAATGAAAATTGCACATGCATGCAGCATGCACATGGATGTCTTGTCTCCGTACGTCTCCGTCGTGTCTCTTCTGCTCGCCTGCGTCCTCCTCGGAGGCTCCATCCCTCCGGGCAGCAGACTTAGCCACCGATGCGGCTACCTCTGAGGCTGCTTTGGTAGCCTGACAAGTGTCAACTGGAGCAGACCAATCTGCTGCTGATGCATTTCATTACCATGTTCATCCATCCCGGCTCCCGCTGAAGAAGCCCAAAAGAATGCAAGGAAACTTGAATGCCTTGTCAAGTACACGACTTCTCCTGTCCTAAATGGTAGGAAGTGAGAGTAAGCCATGCTGGGTCTTCTTCTGTGGATTCATCCCGAGCCTGAGCATGGCCAGCCCCTGCTGCCAAAGCAGCTTGGGCTGCTGCTTCACCTGCAAGGCCACTAAACACGGATGCTTCATGAAATAAAGAGTTGCTCTGGCCAACTTGAGTGTGAAGAGTCTAGTTTAGTGCCGGGATGAGTGTGATATCAGGATTGCATCAGGATTGCTCTGGGACCGAAAGAAGGCTGGGCAAACTTTTTTTACTTTCTATTGCATTGAATCTGCTCTCTCAGCACGTTTATTGAAATACTATTCTTGAGGCAATGGCGATTGCAACCAAGAGTCCGAAGTGGACCCAACCAATTTTTGGAAACAAAACAAAACTGACAGCAATCCTCGGACCTCGCCTGCTTGCTCTGCAGCAAAGCAAGCCAAGCTGCCGGCAAGAATGGCCTGTGCTTATGAACCAACATCTGCAGTTGCTGAGGCATCCAAATGCCGAGAAAAAAATCTTACACCTGGTCTTCAAGGAAGCAGCAGCATGCAGTAATGGTGCAGTTTGAGAGTTGGAAAAATCATTCCAATGGTGCTTTCGGAGTGGATGCGCTCATCAAGCGAAGTACAAAAGGCTCACAAAGGGTACATGTAAAGGCGGTTGATCTGGGGGAGGCTGTGCGAGGTAGCCAGCTGGGATCCACAAATGATTGCCCCTGAATCTCACATCAGGCCTCCGCAGCAGCTACCTGGACTAGAAAGGATTTGGGATGGCTTGAAATTGTGATTTTTTCAACAAAGAGCCAAGTCTCTTCAAGTTCATCTCTCTCCAGATTCTAGGGAACCTCCTCACACCATGGCAATGCATGTTGAGATCGACCTCATACCTTGTTCAACTATGTGTGGTTGTTGACTCATCTCGGTATCAACGGCTGTTACTTTCAAAGGAATGTGTGCGAGGGCTCAACATCTGCCTCACCAGCACACAAGGCGGCTTCCAAGACAGTGGCTCCGGATGCCATGGCAGCCTGCAAAAGCTAACAACGAGTTAAGCAGTCAATCAGTCACGCTGGCTTGCGAAAGCGGCATTCGTTCTGAGTCACTATATAGTCCCAAGTACCTATAAACACCACGTCCGAAGCCCTAAATTCGGCTTATATTTGTTTTTAAATTACCGCCCTTTCAAGCCGTTACTAAACTACCAACATGGTCGATTTTGGGGGTAGTTTATTTTATTAGGTTCCAAAAACAACCGTAACTGCCCACACCTGTCCGCCCATGACACGCCGCGTTTACACCAGCAGGCTTTCCTTCCTCCAATGGCACGGACTCACGCAAACGCACTTGCCACCGAGGTCGTGCAAAACCGCATGGCACAGCGACATCACCTTTCGAAAGCTTTGGTTGTTAGTCTAATGAAGAATCAGTATTCTAATAACGGTTTTTGTCTGGAGGTTTTTTGAATTTTTGATACGAGTTGAATATATAAATGATTTTATATAGTTTTCTTTCTGGATGACTTATTGGTTTTGAAGCTCTTCCCAGGTGACCCTATTTTGGACCCCCCCGATTTCAGGGACCCCCTGATAGAAAAAATGCGACCGAGTTTCTCTTATTAGGGGGGGGTTAATAGGTGGACAGGATTAATATATAAGCTTTGCACTTTGCCCACTTAGTAGTTTTGAGACATGCATGGAGTATCACAGTATCACACAGGATCTTACAACTTGTCAAGCGCTCTGTCTCTCTCTGGTTTGACGTTTCCGCTTCTGGGAAGAATTTATGTCTCTGAACGAAATTAGCTGGCATACACAGTTCAATTCACTGCAATCGGTATGAGTACTGCCTTTCCGGCTGCTTCGCTGGCAATGCCCAGGAGGGCATGAGTCATGCTAGTTTCCTGCCAAAGCAAGCTATGTTTGGTGGACAAGAAACTCTGCACGGCCTGGGCACCTAGCGAGGCGGAACACATACTCGCAACACCTCATATACACAGGAAACTGGGCAGAATAAAAACAAGTGGCAGGCTCAGGGCAGGAAAAAACACCCCAAGCTTCATTTCAAGTGGCAACGATAATAGAATAGTACTAAAATGTGATTAGGGTTTCTGCCAGCGTGTCAACAGCATGCATGCAGCTCGAGCTGCCATCTAATCTAGCTCTATATGAAATGTTCACCTTACAATCTTGCAAATCTCGGACATGTCCAGCGAAAAGACAAGCAAAAACCATTCATTGCACCGGTTGGATCATTTGGTTTTGTCCTTGGCAGCATGGGCAGCTGCTTTGAAGGCTACTGCAGCCACCTCAAGGTGAGGCCAAGCTAGTTTTGTATCTGCAGTGCATCAAATATGATTCAACGCCGGAATGCACATTTTGGATGGAGGCAACTGATTCCAAATGTCTGCATTGCAAAGGTCAACCAGCCCACCTCCGAGTAGGGCATCCCAAGTCCAATAACTGCTTGCTGCGCTGCTTCCGCAGCCAAGCGAGCAACCTTCCCGAAGAGCAATGCGCTACATCACCAAGCAAGTTCAGGAAAACGTTTGTTGACACACATCAGTTAGGTCAAAATTGGTCTTTGGCCTCATAGCCGCTCTTTCCTTCTGCAACGGCTTCCTGACAGGTCTCAGAAGCCAGCTGCGCCGCTCGTTGCTTGGCACGTGCACGGCGGCCGCAGCTGAAGCGATCGAAGATTTGGCCCATTGGAAGATGCCCCAGGTGGGCTCTTTACTGTAGTTGCAAGTACAAAACTGAAACGGTCTATATGAGTGTCTCAAAGTGCATTCCTTTTGGTTCTTGGACATCTGGTGGGTGATATATATACATATTTCCAATTGACTTGCTGTTGAATCCTTATGATTTGCAACTGTTTCAATTGAAACTCTGTGAGCCAGGCAAACGTGTGATCTTTAACCAAGTTCTTCATTGAATACACTTGGACAACCTAATTGCAGTATGATTCATCTTCACAAGCAAGTCATATGTAACTGCCCTCAAAGGTTGCATATTTACGCGAGTTGTTTATGCTTTTGGGGGCCGAAACATCTTGCATGTGTTTTCCCCAAAGACCTGAGGATGCTACTAGGAGTTCAGGGCATCGCTACTAGGAGCAAGAACGCTAATTACTATAGGGGCTCCTGGCCTTACTACTAGGAGCTAGAAACGCTACTAGGAGCTTTTTCGCGAGTGTCTCTGAGGCTATCATCACCTTGGCCATCCCGTGCCCTTGCACCTCTGAAAGCACCTGGCGCTATTGCTCCGTGTGTTCTGACATCATAGACAAGACAATCGACTTCCGAATACAACACGTTGAAGCTACTTATGTAATCGTTGCAGTTGCTGTTGTCGGTTATCGGTTCTTTTCTTTTCCTCACTGTGTCTTCTTTAGACATTGAGACCTGTTTTTGGCTTCTTCCCTTCTTGCAATGTGCTTTCATCCGCTTTCCGTGAGGATTTCCTGAACTTTGTCACTAGGGTTGGATGTCCCCTTGCGTGGCGGAAGCCCAGGACTGGTTGTCCCTCGTTTGTCCAGCTGACATGGCTAGCTAGTGTTTCTCTGTATATGTGACTGTCTTCCGCTACAGTATCCGCATCGCATGATTTTTGCCTGCTCATTTCATGCCATAGCATGCCTCCTATTTAACCCAGTTTATGTTGAATGGCCGGCATGCATATTTTGCGGTGTTTGTGGGTGTTTGTGCTGGATGTTTGATGGTAGTATGACAAAAAGAACACATTGCAGGGCCCTGCATCTATAGAATAAGAATAAGCATCAGCATCTTGAGTCACAGACTTGCTCAACAAATTATAGGTTGTCCGCATTCGGCCTCACAAACTGCAATTACAACAAACAGTGTAGCATATACCATTATATACATCATGTACGTAGATGTACATAGGCCCATCAAAGTCAATCATCAAGAGATCCTTGTGCTTTTCAGGAGCTGCTTCCGCTTTTCGACAAATCTCAGATCGTCCAAAGAAAGACCTTCCTGCAAGACCCTCATCTCATAGACCAAGGACAGTCTTGCTTGAGATGGCGCGCGGACACGATGGCGGCAGCTTGGAACGGCGCCCTGAGTCCAACGTTCTAAAACATCTGCCGCAAAAACAACAACCTCTGCAGAAGACCCGAGCTCTTCAATGGCCAGCCAATCCCCATTTCCATCCAAAAGCTCCAAGCCAGGCGTTTTGCTCATGAATTTGGCTGTGAAAAGGCCAGGGTCTGTATGTGCAGCCATAGCTAGTGCACTTCCTGGAAAATAGTTGAAAATATCCTTGGTGCAGCTGTGCAACAAAATTCCATAGCTTGTCTAATCCCTACTCATGAACTATACATGGTCCTGCCCTGCCCAATATAAAACAACTCCGGATCTGGGCAGTTTTTTTAGTAATAGGGTGACATGTCTTGTTTGAGGGGCATGCTTTTGACCAAATTAGATTTGCTGTCCCTCTAATAACAGCCCCTTGAAATCCACCAGCAAGGTTCTAGAAGGAGTACTGTACATGTTCAGAAATCAAGTCCCTATTTTGTTTTTGGACAACATATGATAACATATGTTATATTTTATGATAGAGGTACCGTGGGAACTGCGTCAAAACCAAAAGGTTGCCCAGCAACCTTTTTTTGTTTGGAAAATCCATGTTCAAGCTCGTACCAACAACGAATCAAGGGTCTCCCCTTTTCCCTGTACAGCACCTGGGAACCTTTGTCAACAAATTGACTATTCCCTCGGAAGATATCCATCAAACTGACCAAATAAGAATATTGAAAGGTTCTACTTATGAGTACGGTTTTCAAAAGGGCACAATTTACAAGGGGTATTAAAGAAATACGGTTCTTGCAGTCCCCTAATTTATATACAACAAATCCCGGGGACAATAAGGGGATCTCACAGTTGGAACATGTTGGAACCCAAGCAGGAGTTTCCAAAGGATGCAATATCAATTTGGGGGGGCCAAACAAATGCACGAGTAATACATAAAATATGTTCTTTCACTGGTGGAGCTAAAATCACCAATAGGAAAAGGGTAAGCTTCTTGGTCGGCTCCAACCAAAAGCAAATTCTATGTTTCAATTTGTTGATGATTTCGGTGCCACTCTTGCAACGTAAAGCGGAAAAGACTCAAAAACGGAGACATCGCCTGTACGTTCAGCCTCTGCCAACCATACAGTTTCCATAGAATCACCTTGAGGTAGAGCCCTCAAGAGCTGCCGGCATAACCTGCAAAATGCAACAGCAAAAATTGTTTTGTGAGGTTAATTAACACAAATTAAACAATACAATTCCATCCTCAAAGAATTGAATGAACCAACAACATAATTACATACAAAATGAGGCGATAAAGCACGTTTAACGCACCCAGAAACTTTTCCAGGATCGAAATCAATGGTTCTGTGATGTGACGCAAAGCATCCGGCCACTCTTGCTGTTGGGATGCTGCCAACACAACGTGGAAATGTTCCCGTGCATTCTGCATAGTGTAGCCAGCATCAGCTAAGGGAAGGTGGTCGAAAGGCAAACTAGTGTTTGTTTTCAATCCTTTCACACCTTTTTCATGGCCGTGGAAGAACCCTCGCCATGCATCCTCCAGGGGCAAACGCAAACAACTGACAACCCAATTATAAATAAGTGAGTTGGCACAAACATATTCTATCATTGGATCCGGACAATCTAGGACGCCGTGCTGTACATGAAGCAAAGTGGCGCAAACACTCGAACCTCTGCATGTTCGGCTGCTTCAACGCTCTCTTGAGGCAGTTGCAAGACTACAAATCCATGTTTTTTCAGCGCGTCAACAGCTATCTTCAGGTTTTTTTCAATATTGTCGTGGGAAAAGTCCAAGGGTTCCAACTGTACGGGCAGGGCGTTGGTGACCGTGCCGAGGTCATCCTGGAAAAATACACCCGCTTCCAACTGCAAGAGCACATTCTTCAAGGCTGAAGTCATGTCCAACAAACAGAAACTGTCTTTTCAGTTGACAAGCACCCACAAGTCACGTTGTCGAGTCAGCAAACAAATGTTAAACTGTTCTGATCCACCAAGTACTACCCAACAATATGTCAAACAATCAAGCTATTTGATCGAAACTTCTTAATGTCCATAGGTGCTGCTCAGCATGCTACTGTCCTCGTCGCCCAGACTTGCACCCAAATCGCCCAAAAGCACTGTGGAGAACTTGCTCACGGAGCCCCTATCCTCGACCTGCAGTTTCATCCTTTTCATCACAAAGGCTGCAGCTTGACACACGCAAGTGGATTGCTGGGCAATAACTAGCAAGGAAACGTGTGGACAGTGTTCACAAAGCGCTGCGCCTGCCACGAAATCTGCACATGGAGGTTCACAAAGTGCTGCGCCTGCCACGAAATCTGCACTTCAAGAAACAAGTGAAAACTCTAATCCCAATGGACGGACGATTCCGAGCATGCTCCGAGCATGACCCGAGACCGTCTCGCAACCGTCGTTCCGCAGACCT